GTTCAGTCCAGGTCCCCCTGCACTGAGGGTCCTGGGGGCGATGGGGCTTTGCCTTCCTGGTGCTGCGAGGTGGGAACAGCATGTGCAGAGCTTCCAGGACTGGCTCTACAAATGTGTAAAGCAGCTGATGCCAGTTGGCAATGAGTTTGCAGGGGAAGATTAGAAGAGGAAAATCCTTTGAAGAGAAACCCTTTTGCTTTATTAGGAAAAAATGCTCCTTGCCCTGTGTTAGCAGGGTCAGGGGAATCTGAAGCCTCTGTGTGTGTGTGATCCCCAGGCAGGGGGAACCTCTGCTTTGCTTCCCTGCTGATAACTTGGGAGGATGACAGCTTTTCTCTCTTTGCTGTAGGTTTGTTCTTGCTGCAGCTTAAGAAGAGTTTATTTTGACCCCTGTGGTCCTGGAGGGAGCCCCTGGGGGTGGTGTGGGGTCTGGGTAAGCTCCTGCAGGTCCTGACAGAGGTGAGGCACATGGCGTGTGCTCCTCTGCTGGGGGACTGGGGAGGACCAGATGTGATCAAAATACACACAGAAATAAAACTACCCTGCCTGCAAGAGCAGGTGAGTGTGTGGTGAAGAGGGGCAGCCTTGTAAAATGAACACGCCAGTATGGGCACTACCCTTATTTTCCTTGGAAATTGCCCCTGGGAGGTGAGTTTCTCCTGTGCAAGCTCTTGGACAGGGATATCTTGCCAATCTGAGTGAGCACAGCGTGTTCTTGGCTCGCCGAGGGGCAGAAGCGTTTGGGGCTGTGGTGGCACCCAGGGCAAGGAGCGGCAGCACAGTGTCCTCGGGGACCTCCTGCCGTGCCAGTTGGAGGAGGGACCTTCCTTTTCCTTCCTTTTCCAACCTGCCGTGACTCATGGAACATCATCCCAGGAGGAGGCGGCGAGACTGAATCAGTGGTGCCTGAGGACACGCACGGGCGAGGGAACGTGAGCGGGGGCGGCCCCAGCCCCCTTGTTTGCTCCAGTGCCTTCCTTCCTTCCTTCCCTCCTTCCTTCCTTCCTCGTGCCCACCCACCTTTGCTGGGCTTGCTGGGAGGTGATGGGGGGATAATTCAGCTCCACGTGCTGCCCAGCAAATAGGACAGAGCCCCCAGCCCTGCAAGCTTGAGCTGAAGCTCATTTTCGATGCCCACAGGAGCAGGCTGAGCCTGGGCTTGGGTTTGGGTTTGCTGCTGGGGTGCCATGTCCCTGCAGACATCNGTGCCTTCCTTCCTTCCTTCCCTCCTTCCTTCCTTCCTCGTGCCCACCCACCTTTGCTGGGCTTGCTGGGAGGTGATGGGGGGATAATTCAGCTCCACGTGCTGCCCAGCAAATAGGACAGAGCCCCCAGCCCTGCAAGCTTGAGCTGAAGCTCATTTTCGATGCCCACAGGAGCAGGCTGAGCCTGGGTTTAGGTTTGGGTTTGCTGCTGGGGTGCCATCTCCCTGCAGACATCCCAGTGAGCCGTTTGCTTGTCAGGAGCTGCTTCCAGGGTTTGTGTTTCAGAGTTGGTGAAAAGCCCAGAGCTCCTGCAGGAGCCCTTGAGGAGCCTTTGCTGCTGTGGGGGTCCTGAGCACATGGAGATGGGGCTGTGCCATCCCCTGATGGGACCAGTTTTGGAGCTTGAGGGTTTTAATGAAGCTAATGAGTGTGTTTAGCGTTGCACAGAGCTAATTTCTCTCGCAGCGTGGAATGGCTCCTGGGGGAGCTGGGCTGAGCCAAGGCACAGGATGGCAGCAAACGCCGTCTGCCGAAATCTCGGAGGTGTCAAGCTGCTGCGAGGGGAGCTGGAATGTGGCTGAAAGCTGAATTTCCTCCCTCGCTGCCAGGAGGGTGGAGTGTCCCTTTCCCTGCTCTCCCTCCTTTCCTGCAGGGAGGTGCCCTAATGGGAAGCAGAAACGGGATGGGGCAGAGCTCTGGGTTGCCACAGCTTTCCTGGTTGTCCCCTGTCCCATGCCACGTTGATGGGATACAGGGATGCTCTCTGATGATGAGCTGATGGTTGGAGATGTGCACTGGCTGCAAGTGTAACACCTAAAGCACATAACAGCTGAAATGGGAAAGGGATGCAACTTCTCTGAGTGTGAACCTGGCTGGGTTTGCTCCGAGGCGGTGGTGGAGCCTCCTCTGCAGCACTGCCCTTGTTCCCTGTCCTGGGAACACTTGTGTAACTCAGGGATCTGGTTACTGCCCGGCTCAGCTGCCAGAGCCTCTGCTCCAGCCAGAGCGAGCAGGTAGAGCAGCGTTTTCCATCTGAAATAATGAAGGGTTTGATCCCCACGGAGCCCTCCCTTGGAAGGGGAACAGAAGACAAGAGATGGAAAAGCTGAACTGAGAGAGCAGCTGTGGGCTTTTGGGGGGGTTTCCAGCAGCTTGTCCCATCTGCTGCCCTTGCTGCTCTGGGAAGGGTTAACCCTGGTTGTGGCTCCAGATCGCTGCTGTTGCAAAATCTTCTGGGGTGGGATGGGGGCAGTTGACCCTTGTTGAACCTCAGGGCAACACGAGGTGCTTTTCCCATCCCAGCCTCCTCGTTGCAAGCCAAGAAATACAAATCCTGCTGTGGCCATAGGCTGCCCTGCATTCCAGAGCTAAAGCAGGGACGTGGGCAGAGTTACCACACCCCCCCAAAATGCGTTGGATGTGAGTTCCTATGACTGGAGCTGGGATGTCACCCACTAGTGTTTTCACTGCTGGCTGTGGCCAAGGGATGGGAAGGAAATTTGTCAGCTGTGAGGAGAGGAGAGGAGAAACTGGTGGAAGCACTGCTCTTGCCCTGCCTGGATCGGGACCAAATGGTGCTGTGCCACCCCTGTGTCATGCTCAGCACATCCCTGGCTGATCTGTGCCGAGGGCAGGATGTTGTTGGGTGCAGAAAGTGATGCTTGGGCTGGATCTGCCATGGCTTGGGCATCACCTTGTCCTTCCTGCATTGGTAATGGTTTTTCCCCACGCAGCCTCATCGCATGTGGCCTTCAGCTTCCCATCACGCCGCCGGGAACATTTCCTAAATTAACCAAATCATTCCCTTAACGAGGCTTAATCTGCTCCTCTCAAAGCCTCTTCATCACCTCTCCATCCCTGGCTGGCAGGGAGGTGGAGGGAGCAGCTGGATCACAGCCGGGTGTTCCGAGAGCACCGGGGCAGCTGTTCGCTCCCGGCGGGCGCCCGAGTACAGACACGAACGTCAAGGGCTGTGCTGGTGCAGGTAATGGAGCCTGCTGCCCCCTACTTCATTAGGAATACAATTAATCTCCTTAAAAAGCGCTCTGAGTGACCTCCAAAAATGGGATGTATTTTGCTGTACCTCTCCTGTTTTGTCTTGTGCAGAATGATGTTAACTAGCTGCTTCCTGCTGTTCCATTTTCCCAGTGCGTAATTACAAATTGGGTTTGTGTTTTTTTGTGGGTTTTTTTTTTTGGTTTTTTGTTTTTTTGGTTTTTTTTCTCTTCAGCTTCCTGGCTCCCCACGCCAAGATCTTCGGAGCGGGGCTGCAAACAGCCAAGCTTTTCTCCAGGCCCCTTGCATGGCTCCTCAGGGGGCTGCTGATGTGTTTGCTTATGGTTTTGGCTTCCGCGGGATCCAGGTTTTAGGGTAATTAAGCAATAGAGGAGCAAGGAGGGGCTGTCCAACCTCCCACCCTGTCTTCCTTTCACCCCGAGGCTGCCTGTGCAGGTGATGTCCAGCAGTTGTGCAAAGGTTGGCTTGGCCACTCTGGTCCTCCCTGAGCTTCCAGATGCCGCCCTACACCCTGTATGCCCTCACAGGTTTCCACTGGCATGGGATTCCTCCGCCTCAGGAAGCAGGAGAGCCGAGGAGGTGGGAGAGGTGTGACCAAACCAACCCCAAACCAACGGATGGGGTTATGGGTGGGTGGCTGAAGGGCACATCCTGTTTTGCCTTTCCCTGTGGCACAGGACAGTTCCTGTTCCAGGTGTTTCATCTATAAACAGGCAGTGTGGGGGGTTTGGGGGCTGCAGTGAGTATTAACCATGTTCCTGTGATATCCCCCTGTGCTGGGCACCACTGTGGGTCCTGCCAGGCCAGCAAAGCATCCCAGGGCTGATGCTCCCATGCTCCTGGAGCTTGTCCAGGAGAGGCCAGAGGGGTCAGAAGTACTTTGCGGTCTAAGTCTTGGTAAAATGACCAAACCTGCTGTTTCCTGCTGATGCACATGGAGGGTGGGGGTGTGTTTCCACATCCCTCTGCTCCGAGGTGCAGACCTGCTCCAGAGGGTGTTTCACTGAGCCCAGCCCCGAGAGCTGCTGGAGACAGGAAGGAAAATGAACTGTGCTCAGGATAGACACGTTTGTTGCTCTATATTTAGGAGCATAATAATTAAGGCTGGTTGTTTATCCTGACAAACACGGTAATTAATAGTCTGTGGCAGACTAGCAAATCCTTCCTGCACCTGGGAACTGTGAGTTGTCTTTGGGAAGGGCAGGGGCCTCATTAAAGAGCTGCTGCTGCCTGGGAGAAAAGCGGGTATTTAGGGAACATCTGGCTGTTTGCTTTGTCCCCTTCCCAGGCACACGTGGTCGGCTGCTGGTGGCTTCTGAATTTGTGAGGGAGTTTTTGTGTAAGGGCAGGGAGGTCCTGCTGGACCCACGGAGCAGAAGGCTGAGGGATGGGAAATGGCAGGGGCTGTGCAAGGCGGAGTGTGAGGGTGGTTGGTGGCACTCGAGGCTGCAGTGGTGTAGGTATCAGGGCTCAGAATTTGGCTGATGAACGCAGTGGGTCCTGCTGGTTGGGCACTGGGGGTGGCAGTGAGGTGACAGGCGGTGGTGATAAGCTTTTGGCAGCCTTGGAAGGAAGGGCAACCAGCTTCTGAGGGCAAACGGCTTCTCGCTCTTCCCACTAGATGGGGATGGAGGCACTGTCAGAGCGCACCTCGCTGCGCCCACAGGGAGCTCCCTGCTCCCCCCTGAGCCTTCTCAGGTGGGCACTGTGCCAGCAGGGGGTCCTGTCCTGGCTCTCCCGAGGGGCTCAGGGCTGATGGGGGTCTCATTTCTCTCGCAGATGCTGCAGGACTGCCCCAAGGCCCGCAGGGAAGTGGAGCTGCACTGGCGGGCGTCGCAGTGCGCGCACATCGTCCGCATCATGGACGTCTACGAGAACCTCTACCAGGGGAGGAAGTGTCTGCTCATCGTCATGGAGTGGTGAGTCCCTGTCTGAGGGGCATCCCCAGCCCTGCAGAAGCGGGGTGAGCACCTTCCAGCGCTGCTGCCGGGGTGCTGGGGACCCCGGGGAGGTGCCATGCCCAGGGGGTGCAGCCCGCGAGCCGTAGGGATGCCAGTCCTGGAAGAGCTGCTGCAGCGCTGGCGTTGGAGGGGTGGCGGGAGCTGCCTTTGGCTCTGAGTCATTCTGAAAACTCGCTCGGCAGTCGGGAGGCTGAGGGCCTGTGGTTCTCGCAGGTAGATCATAACCAAACTCGCTTTGGCCATCGAAATTCGGGGTAGTCAGCGTGTTCCTGGCACCCTGGCGGCCTGTGGTGAGTCCGTGGAGCAGCGGCCACGCCGAGCAGACACGCCTGTTAACGCTGTGGCACCTCCTGCAGCAGCAGTCAGGTGGCTCCGGGTCGGGTAGATGTTTGATATAACCTGGGGAGGAGGAGGAGGAATGAAGGGGAAAGTATTGAAACCACATCCCAACCGCAGCTGTGATTTGATGCAGCTTCCTTGCCAAAACCTCTCCTCTGGCAAGCTGGTAGGTTGCCTGGGGGGGCAGCGGGTGCGAGGAGCGCCGGGGCAGGCGGCACAGGCAGCGGCTCTTGTGGGGGAAGAGGCTTCTGAGAACCACGCTGGGCAGCCAGGGATGGGAAAGGTGTGTGTGGTGTGGAAAGAAGGAGTAACAGAGTGGTGGAACAGGTCCCCAGGGCTGCGTCTTGTGAGAGCTCCGTGCTGTCCAAGGGTACTCTGGGTGTGATTCTGGCACGAGCTCAGTATGTATCCATCCTCACAGGCAGCACAGGGCCAACTATTGATACTGCAGATGTCTAGTGAACGTCAGGGGCGCTGGCAGGAGATGCTGCCGGCGCTGGGAAAGCAAGAAACCGTTTCTGCTTGTCTCAGATAAGGCAGGGGCAGGAAGCGCCATTATCCCTGCTCGTGGAGAATCCTCCCGTATCTCACTCCTGATCTCTCCGGGAGCTGAGTTTTTCCTGAGGGTACCCGGGGAAGGAACCACGCCAAGGATCCCGTGGTGCTTCTCCAACACCTCACATGAGACCTTGCTGTGCTGCAGGGGGGTCCAGCCTCTGCCTCCCCCACCCCCTCGCTGAGCCCCTCTCGGTGCTGCTGACTCTTCTCCCGTGCCCTGAGCTTGGCTCAGCACTTCTGCCCGGGGTTTGTGTGCCGGTGAGGGGGTTGCCTGGTGAGCAAAAGGAGGGCAAGGCGTGCTGGGAGTGCTCTCACCGCCTTCAAGCCACACTTGCTGCCTTTACTGTAAAATGGGTTTCTGTGGGCTGGTGGGGCGACCACGTCCGCCTGCACCCGGCGTCCCCACGGCCAGCACGAAGCCTCTGCCCCGCTCATTTCTGGAAGGAGGAGGTTCTGAAACGCCCCACCCCCAGAAGCACCGACCCCAGGGCTTGGGTGGAGAAGGGGGTTGTTTCTTGCTGAGCTTGTGCAGCTCCTGACCGAGCATCAGAGGTTCTGGCACAGCTTGTGCTGGCGTGAGATGGACCTGCAGTGTCTAACGCCGCCTGCTTCTCTTCCAGCTTGGATGGTGGGGAGCTCTTCAGCCGGATTCAAGACAGGGGAGACCAGGCCTTCACAGAACGGGGTATGGAGCCCACAGGGTGCTGGGGTTTTGTCTTTGGACCATATTTTGATGTTTATAGAAGTGTCTCTGGTCTAGCCTGTTCCCTCCTGTTCTTACTGCCAGGAAAAGCAACTACCTAACCCAACCCTGAGCCCATTGCCCCCTTGGCTTCCCATCCTAAAGAGAAAGCTTTCCCAGCTGGATTCCCTGCTGGTTGGGGGTATTTAGTGGTGTGAGCCCCTCCTTGGATATTGGGGTCAGGGGGCTGGAGCCTGCCTCATCCCTTCTCCTGGGAGTTTCTGTCCTGTTTGCTACAGGCTCCTGACCCAGGGATGGGTGCTGGGTGGGCCTCCATGGAAAAGGGGCTCTTGAGGCAGAGGAAACCCCTTTGGCCTCAGCCAGACTCCGGTTTGTAGAGTTTTCAAGGGCGTGGTGCTCATTTTAACTTGCTTATGAAGGCTTAATGATGGTTTCTTTGCTGCTTCAGAGGCTTCAGAGATCATGAAGAGCATTGGGGAAGCCATCCAGTACCTGCACTCGATCAACATCGCTCACCGGGACGTGAAGGTACAGTGCCCCTTCCCCCTTGGCCTGTGCCAATGCCAGGCTGCCCCAGCCCTGCTGCTCACCTCTTCTTCCCCGTGTGTCCACAGCCGGAAAACCTCTTGTACACCTCCAAAAGGCCCAATGCTGTGCTAAAGCTCACAGACTTCGGCTTTGCCAAGGAAACCACCACGCACAACTCCTTGGCCACTCCGTGCTACACGCCGTACTACGTGGGTAAGTGCCGGGGGGAATCTGAGCTTCCAGGTTTGCAGGGATGGAGGGCAGATCTGGAGGGGAGTTTGGACAACGCCCATCACCTCTGCATCCAGCCTGGAGCCCCCCTGGTGCTGGGGGCAGCAGTCTCCACTGCTCCAAGTAGCGCTGCCGAGAGTGCCCGGAGCTGCAGGTGGACTCATGGGATGGTCACATCTTTTTCACCTGGTGCTGCCACATGGACTCAGGAATTTTCCTCTCTTTCAGCCCCGGAGGTGCTGGGCCCAGAGAAGTACGACAAGTCCTGTGACATGTGGTCCCTCGGTGTCATCATGTACATTCTGTAAGTCTGACTGTCCCTCTCCATCCTCCTGGGGGCCAGAAGAGGGGGTGAAGCTCTCGAGCTTTCCTGGTGGGGCAGAACCTTTCTCAGCTGTTCCTGGCACTGTCCTGTGCCCTGTAGGTGCTGCTGGGGAGGTTTTTGGGGTGACACATTGACTCTGTTCCCTCTCCTGGCACAGGCTGTGTGGGTACCCCCCCTTCTACTCCAACCACGGCCTGGCCATCTCTCCCGGCATGAAGAAGCGAATCCGAATGGGCCAGTACGAGTTTCCCAATCCTGAATGGTCTGAAGTGTCAGAGGAAGGTAAATGTGGTCCCCGTGGTGGCTTCTCCCCAGGCTGAGGTCTCACTTCGGGCTCAGCCCTGTGTCCAGCAGCGCTGTGAGGGCTGAGGGGAGCTTGGCCATGTCGTGGGTCACCTCTCAGGGATGCAGCAGCTTTTGCTGAAGGGTTTGGCCAGGGTGAACTCTTGTGGCACACAGGAGGCCTGTGCAGGTATTTTGGGGCTGCTGGCTCAGGTGGGAGCTCGGGGAGATTCCCCCTGGGACCTGCTGATGCCTGACCCCGCTCAAACCCTTCCAGTGAAGCAGCTGATCCGCAACCTGCTGAAGACGGACCCGACCCAGCGCATGACGATAACGGAGTTCATGAACCACCCCTGGATCATGGTGAGTGCTGGGGGGAGGAGCAGCAGGATGGGAGGGGGGTGCAGATGGGGCAGGGCTGAGATGGGATGGGATGGCTGCAGCTCCCAGCTCACACTCCTCTCCTCTCCCTGCAGCAATCCATGCAGGTGCCCCAGACCCCGCTGCACACCAGCCGGGTGCTGAAAGAGGAGAAGGATCTGTGGGAGGATGTGAAGGTAAAAACTCTCTCCTTTGCTGTCTGCAACGCTCTGCCCCCTGGTGTCCTCTGGGGACTGTCATCTCCTGTCTTCTCACTGCAAAAAGGGCTCATTCACTGGTGTTGGGTGTAGATGAAGCACTTGGGGGTCATGGTTTAGTGGTGGACCTGGCAGTGTTGGGTTAACCATAGAATCACAGAATAGTTTGGGGTGGAAGGAACCTTAAAGATCATCTCATTTCAACCTCCTGCCATGGGCAGGGACACCTTCCACTAGCCCAGGTTGCTCCAAGCCCCGTCCAACCTGGCCTTGGACACTTCCAGGGATGGGGCAGCCACAGCTTCCCTGGGCAACCTGTGCAAGGGCCTCCCCACCCTCACGGGGAAGAAAATGGTTGGATGATGATCTTAGAGGGCTTTTCCAACCTTAACAGTTCTATGATTCTAATTTGGGCTTGGTGTGAGCGTGCTGGCTCCCAGGGAGATCCATGCTTGGGAGGGAGCTGGAAAAAATGATCATTGGGACACTCAGGCCCCGCTGCAATTTATTCCCAACTGCTCTGGGGGTCCTGGGGGGGCTTTGCTGATGGCTCTGCCTGTGCCTCCTGCCCGCAGGAGGAGATGACAAGCGCCCTGGCCACCATGAGAGTGGACTACGAACAAATCAAGATCAAGAAAATCGAAGATTCCTCAAACCCTTTGCTGATGAAGAGGAGGAAGAAAGCCAACCCCACCGAGCCTGCCGCACTCCCCCACTGAGGGTGCCCCGCCAGCCCTCGAGAAAGCAATAACTATATATATATATTTTTTAAGAAAGAAAAACAGAAAAAAAAAGACGAAACAGACTGTTATATCAAGCGCATGGAATCCAGACATTTATACCAGACTAGTTATTTTTAGCTACTCACCTGTGTTTCTGACCTTTCTGGAGCAGGTGGTAAGATCCCCATCCGATCCACTCCTGCGGCCCGGGATTTTGTCCTGTAGGTGAACGCCGCCGATTAATTGGATTTTTATTTTTCTTTCGTGAGACAGTTTTGATTTATATTTCTTTTTTTCTTTTTTTTTTTTTTTTCCCCTTCCTTCCTTCCTTCCTTCCAAAGACACGGAAACTCCTGTGGTGACCTTTTTAGGGTATATAACGTATAAATATTTTTTAAAAGAAAAAAAAAAAAACTACTGTAGAGCTGAAAGCCAGGCAGCGTGTTCCCTGTGTGGGTGCTGGCTAGAGGTGGGCTCCAGGCTTGGGAGTGGATTTTGGGGGGGACAGGGAAGGAGAGCTGCCTTCCCCCCTGTCCTGCTCTACGTGCCAGGGCTGGCGTGGGGGGTCCCCGTGGCCACCGTGCTGCTTCACTGGCCAGGAAACTGCTGCTTTTAAAGCACAGTAGCCAGAAACAGCCCCCCCAGCTCTCCCTGAGCTGGAAGCCTGGGCTCTGCCCGTCCGTGTGGTCTGTCTGTGCGTGGGGTGTGTGTCGTGTCCGTGGGCCCGGAGCTGCTCGTGGCTCCCCTGCCGTGGCCACCGCAGTCTGTGCCTGTGCCTGGAATCCAGTTCTGACCTCAGGGGTGGGCAGGGGGGCGAGCAGGAGGCCAGTGCCTCCCCCCCTCCCCAGATATCCCCCTGCTCTGCAGGGATCTGGGGAAAAGTTGTGTCCCTGCCGCCTCTACCTGATCCCACAGCCCCTGCTCTGGGGAGATGCTGCCCTGGGGGGTCCCTGGGGACAAGCAGGTGGCACAGGGAGAGGATGGAGGTGGCACAGGGCTGTATCTTGAGCCAGGATGGCAGCACTGACCCCTCCCTGGCCAGAGCTGGGGGTCCTCCTGCCCCCCCCCAAGCGTGGCTCCTGCTGGGAGCAGGACGGCTGCTCTGAAGTCTTTAGTCCATGAATTATTATTATTATTATTTGTCACGATGTTTCACTTCGTTAAATGTGTTCGAATGGGGAGGGGGGAAATGATTTTTTAAGGCAAATGTTTAGTTTTTAGGTGATCTTTTAGACAATGTATGGAACTTCGATTTGTTTTAAAAAAGCGGTTTTTATCCCTTTTTTTTTTTTCCCCCTTTTTTTTTTTTTTTTTTTTTTTTTTTTTTTTTTTTTTTTTTTTTTTTTTTTTTTTTTTTTTTTTTTTTTTTTTTTTTTTTTTTTTTTTTAATTATTTTTGTCTGTTGGCTTATACTAATCTTCCCGGTCTGCTCTTCAGTCCTTTGGATTAAAGACACTTAAAGCGTCACCCAGTCTCTCCTTGCTTGTGTGGCTGTGAAGAGACCCCCCCCTCCCAGTGCTCCAGGCTGGGTGGCCTCTCTCCCAGTGTCCGAAAATTGCTGGTTTATCCACCAAAGAGCTCCCCAGGATGCTCTCTGGTGATGCAGTGTCCTTGTGGGATCCCTTTGCTTGGGGACCGCTGCTGGAGATCTCAGGGCTGTGTCTGTCCCGGCTGCTGCAGGCGGAGTTTCCTCGCCAGCACGTGCGTGGCTCTCCTGGGCTGGGGCTCTGGGGACGTGGGATGTGGGATGTGGGATGTGGGATGTGGGGTGCGGGACGTGGGTGCTGCGCCCGGGTGCCGGCAGGGGACACTGCGCATCCGGTGCCGCGGGTGCCGGGGCACACGTGGGCCCCGGGGACTGTGGCTGCCACCAGCAGTGCCCGCTCCCTGCTGTCACCTCCGTGCTGGGATTTGGGGCTGCTGGGAGCTGCTGCTGCTGCAGGAGAGGAGAAAGTGGTCTCCTCATCCTCCTCCTGCCCGTGTTGGGGAAGAAGCAGCGTGGTCCTGCCAGAGCTCCCTTGGCTCTCCTGTGCATCCCTGCTCTGTTCACGAGAGCCACAGGACAGAGGGCTTCAAACTGACAGCAGGTTTAGATTGGATATTAGGAAGAAATTGTTCCCTGTGTGGGTGGGGAGGCCCTGGCACAGGTTGCCCAGAGAAGCTGTGGCTGCCCCATCCCTGGAAGTGTCCAAGGCCAGGTTGGACGGGGCTTGGAGCAACCTGGGCTGGTGGAAGGTGTCCTTGCCCATGGCAGGGGGTGGAACGAGCTGAGCTTTAAGGTCCCTTTGAACCTGGCGGGGCGGGCAGCTACAGCAATGGGGCTCAAATCCCCCAGAGGTGCTGCGAGGAGGGAGCTGGAGCTTCAGAGACCTCCTCCAGTCGAGCCGACAGGAGCGGCGTCTTCAGCTGCCGAGTTCCAAAACAGCCATCCATCTCCCAGCCCGGCAGCGCATCACGCCTGCGTGCACCAGGGAGGAAACGTGGACGGCACAAACACGCCCAGCGCTCAGAGGTGTGAAGCACAGGCAGGATTTTCCAGCCCGCAGCAGCCGCAGGGTCTCGCGGGCTTGCGCAGGTTCAACGTTTTGGAAAAAAAAAGAGGTTTCCTAAACAAACGTAATCCTGGTAGTGAACCCAAGCCCGAGGAGGGGCTGAGGTTCGGGTTTCCTTTATTACTGAGATCCTGTTCTGGAAATTACGGGGCTCACTGACACAAATCTCGACTCTGATGGGAAGGTTTGCGGCTGGAAATGTTTTCTGTGTTTGTGGAGGGAAGAGAAGAGTGGAACGAACGCCAGTGACCATCCGGCTGTGGGATTGCTCCCAGGGTTGGTTCCTCCACTCCGTCCCCCCCATTTTGGCACTGAAGCCATGAGTGCAAAGCAGGTCTCCCAGGGTAATCCTACAGCTCCCAGGGCTCTCCTGAACATCCCAGCTCCTGGGGAAGGGGTACCCATGGTGTCACCCCCTCCACTTTTGCTCCCTCCCAGGTGAAATCTCCCTTCGGAGGGGCCATGCGCTCGCTGCAGCACCCAGACTCTCTGTCACTGCTTTCAGTGCCCCAGGTCTGTTTTCTGTAAAGCTGTTGATGCTAAAAGGAATAGCTGGGGCAGTGTGGGCGTCGGGTGAGAACGAGGCTTACTCATGCAGGGCGATATTTTGTTGCTTCAGGTTTGAAAGCAAAATTTTGGTCACAAGGCACTGTAAATAAATCGGCCGGAGAAGAGTGGAGAGAACTGGGGGAATGCTGGGGGGACTGTGTGCTCCTGGAATCAGGTAAGGATGGAAAAAAACAGCAGGAAGGAATCTGGTTTTGGCTGGGGGAGATGAGGTTGATGCTGCACATCATGGCAGGTGGGTTGGAAGGAGTTGAGCTTTAAGGTCCTTTCCAACCCAAACCATTCCGGGATTCTGTGGTTCTATCACCCTTGGGGAAACCACTCTAAGGGGAGCAAGGATAGAAAATCTTTGATTAAGGTGCTGGCCCAGGCCCTGTGGGAGATGATGGCCAGGGTTCTTTGCAGGAGTCAGGTGTGGTGGGAGCAGAGCATGGAAACCCGGGCACGTGCAACCTGCTGACTCCAAAGGAATATGTGAAAGATTCACTGCAATATTTTTAATTTTCAGTAGTTAGCAGGAAAATAACCCCTCTCTCCTCACCCTTTATTTTTAGCAGCAAACTTCCTGCTGAGGGGGGGAAAAAAAAAATATATTTTTCTCGCTGTTGAGGTGATTTTGATCAAAAGTCTGGCCCTGCTCCAGTAGATCATCGGTGTTTGCTGCTGCCGGAGAGATGAATCACGAAGGGCTCTGTTCTTAGTCTGCCAACACAAGAAATAGCTGCTGCTCTTGCAAGGATGGAGGTGAAGCCTGGATGGCCAGCAGCCTGGCCTCTCCCCTTCCCCCAGAGGTGGTTTGCTGTGCTCCCGTGGTGTTGGTCAACTCTGGACAACCCCAGCAGGACAAAACGTCCTGTGGCCTGTGTGGATGTGCAGGGCAGGAAGGCACGTTGTGCAATGGCACTAGAGGAGTAATCAGCTGGTTGCTGTTTCACTTGTGCCCCTTGTTTTCTAATCATGAGGATTATTTACTATTGAGACTAGGTGTTTTTCTGTGCCTGGGCTCTCAGTACTTGCAGACCTGCTCTAAATCTAATGGCAGCCATCTGTTGTCTTCTGTTGGCCAAGGAGGCTTTGACTTGGTTACCTTTCTGCCCTAGGTTGGTTTGTACCCTGGGTACAGCTGCTGGTAAGATGGACAACTCGAAAAAAGCAAAAATTCTTGCGAAAAATCAGTTGATGGTTGTATTTTTCTAAGAATTAGGATCAGGCACATCAGGGGACTGTCAGGATTTCCTGCTGCGAAGCTTGGGATGAGCACAGCTAAATTTCTTAATGCTCAGAAATGCTGGATTTATAAAAGATGTGTTGGCATCAAGCTTGCCCAAAACTGGGGTTGGAGGGATCCTGCTGAGGGCTGTCTGGAGCTGGCTGGAAAATGACAGGTAGTGACGGGTGCTAATGGAAACCTGGCTGTAAAAGAACAAGACGTGCTTTTCTGCTAACAGCAACTTTCTCTCCCACAAATTGTCCCATTAGGTTAAAAGAGGCCTGCAGGAATCCGGCTCTAGACTTCTTGCAGCAGCTTTTCCAGGTGGGCAAGGCAAAGCTGTTCCTCAGTGCTCTGCAAACCTGGCAGACCCAGGAGCGGGAGGCAGGTTGTGGAGAGGATGTGTGAGATGTGCCGCTCGCAGCAGTTGGGCTCAGCATTGCAAAAGAGCCAGGAAACCAAGTTTCGGCTCAGGGAAAAGTAAACTTAGTGCCACTGCCAGGAAAGGAACCTCGTAGTCCAGCTCTGGAGCAAAGGAGATGGTTTTGTTGCTTCAGGGTGTGATGAAATGGTGGAGAGACCCTGCCAAGAAAGGGAAGGCAGCAGGTCACAAGGCAGAAAATAAGAACTGCCTGGGTTGAACTGCTAGATCGCCATCCCTGTTCTTCTGGGGTTATCTCCCTGCATCGTGGGCTGAAATTTCCATCTCCTCTCCCATCTGAAAGCCCAGGGAAGCACTCTGGTTTAAGCATCTGAAGATCTGGCATGGATGGGAACAATTTCAGTCCCCTTTCTTCCTCTGCATCCTCATCTAACAGCCCCAAGAGCGAGTCAGTGCCTCTGTACCACACACTTCCATAAATTATTGGATTGGTGGTTGGTGTGGGACTCAAAAGTGTCACAGGGTTCATGCATCTCTGTGGCCTCACGTTGTCAGGCTGCTGCTTTGTCACCCCTTGGTATTCAAAGGGGCTTTTAAGAAAGATGGATACAAACTTTTTAAAGGGCTTGTTGTGATACTGGTTTTAAGCTAATATAGGGTAGATTTGGACTAGATATGAAGCAATTTTT